TTATAGCATACAAGTCACTTCTTCGCATTGAGGAAAAAAGTCGTAATAAAAGGCCAAAGCTACCCATACCCCTATAGTGTATGTGTAGTTTTGACCCCGCCAAAGCTGTAAATTGTAGCCAGCGGTTCTGTTGTAGCCTGGATCATGACACCCGGTGCTGCCATTATAAAACGTCAGAAATTCTTCCTCTCTGAAAAAATTTCCAAAAACCTCGATAGTAGTATCTGGCTGCCATTCAACCACGAGGTTTGGAAGGCCAAGGGCAACAAATGGGTCCATGATGCTGGGGTCAGGTTGAACAGAAATAAATGCCGGGCTGAGCTCCTCCCCGGTCCGGCTGGATCGAAATGGGGCCCTGATACCCGACACTGGTACACCTTGGCTGGTTGTCAATAAGACACCGCAGGATGGTGCAGGCGGCATAGGTGGCGGAGGTGGGGGACTTGGCGGCGGGGGCTGAGCCGGGCAGGGGCAGTAGCCTATGCCGAACTTGATATAGCCCCAGGCAGTGGGGGAGTCCGGGCAGATGGGGTTGGTAGCATTATTGGCAGCCACCCAGTCAGTTGCTGCCCAAGCGAGGCTGCCGTTGGCTGCATTGGTCAGGGCCGCGAACGAGTAGAATGTGGTTGGGGGCCCACAGAGTTGAATCAAGCTGGAGTAGTCGGTGCTTGTAGTATAGAAAATGGGGATGGTGAATATGTCTCCGTTGAACAAACGAAAAGTGCCCAATGGACTCCCGGATGTGGTTGGCGGAACACAGCCTGCACTGCCATTGTAAGATGCATTGAATTCGGCTTCAGATAACAGGCCAAAGCCCACTGTGTGCTCTGATTGTTCCCAGCGTATCATGATGTCTGCTGTTCCATTGAAGTGAAATCCTGAATTGTAATACATATCCACAACCTGCAAGATATACGCGGGGCTGATCTCTTGGCCTGTATCCGCTGAAAGGATGGGAGTCCGAATAGCGCTGACAGGGACACCATCCTGGTAGAGGACGGTCGCAGGACCGCAGGGGGGTACGGGCGGCATGTGGGGAGGGGGCGATGGTGAGGGGTTGACGGCTGCTCCCTTTTGCACACTCAGCAGCAGCACCACTGGCAGCAGCACCAGCAGGATGTTTGCGGTGGTGGGCAGGCAGAGCCTCCTCGGCGGGAAGTATCGGTGGAAGCCACAGTTAGATGGCCTTTGCCTGAGCGGGCTGCAGCAGTCATAGTCCCACTGATGCTGGCGGCGGCTGAGGCGACTACTGCTCATGCTATTTTCCGCGCCTTGATGACGATGTGTTCCCATTACGACCTTCAAGGTACTGGCGAACATTGGTAGCTGCAATGTCTTCACTCTACAATCCAGTGGCTAGTTAATTGTTGCTCTTGTAGTTCGCCTGAGTTGTTACACCCTGTATTTGATTACAGTATTGCACTTATTCATATACATGGCTCGATGTGCGTGTGTATTCGATTCACACAGTGTAGTACGGATGCGTGTATGTGCAGGCTGCCTCAGCTAGCTACCCTGGCAGCAGCCAAACAGACGAGTAGCTAAAGCCAATGTCGGTGTCACTACTTCCCCAGCAGCTAGCCCTGCGTGCCGTACATATTGCAGCAAATAAAGGGTAGGCAGGCCTTCAGTGAACTAACATAACCACATACATGGCAATGGAGATCCATGGTTAAGAGGCCGGGCATGCTGTGCCACCAGACCTGCGTTGTGCCATCAGACCTGCGTTGTGATCTGGAGTTGGTGCTTGGGGGTGTTGCTGACAGAGTGCTGGACGAGCAAGGTCCTAGTGTTCCTTATCAGCTAAGGACCGGAACGAACCCCCCAATAGCATTCACGGTGATGACCTTATAGTGCATTACACTACTTTTAAGTTGCCTGTTGGGAGCTTAGGGAGTTTGCTGGGCGTCTGGATAGCCTGTGTAGTTGCTGGCCGCTGGAAAGGCCTCTCGAGATACTGGTGGAGCGCTTAGCGTGTACTTGTTATGTGTGCCGTACAGTGTACCGGCTACTACACATCCCCCCTTTTGAAGGGATCCGTCTCGGGCCCTTACGGCCACGTATACCACCAGCCTGTGCCTACCTTCGCCTACCCTCGGGCAGTGGGTGACTAGTCCACGTCACGTCATGTGTTGCACTGACATGCGCCTAGCCGTATTAAGATTTTTCAGGCATAGAGACATTACAATCGATGATAGCTACTTTTGTCACGACTATCGTGTAATTAGTCGTCTAACCCGATTTACACGAAACGTGATTGGTGGGAGTTATATGACGACTTCAGAATCGTACTCCCGTACAAGGTCTCGATACCAAATGTATTAGCTGGCCGGAGAAGAGGCCACTCGAGATGCTGTTTTAGCGCTTAGTGCGTACTTGTAGTTGTTATGTGTGCCGTACAGTGTACCGGCTACTACAGCCTGGGTGACACCCATGCTTTCCCAAGTGGAAGTACGGCATCAAGGCATGCCGCTATCAGAAGTGGATGGGAGCACCCCCACCTAGGGGCGTGCATCTCGTGTGGCTGGTGGACACGGAAGCAACTGTGCCCCGGCATTTGCAACAAGTGCTCATGCGTTTCCAGTTGGTGAACTCGTGTTTCAAGGGTGCAGCATGCACACAAGTATCACTGAGGCCCCACCCCTGACATTGGCCGATACTTCAAGGAAATACCAGGAGGCCAGGCACGGTGTGCTAAGGTGTTTCACTTCATCAGGGTATCTTAGTTAAGGATTTCTCAGTTCTAACCTGAGTTTGAATTCCAACAGAAGTGATTTCTGTTGAGCGGGATGTGGTCCCCGGGCCCCGTGACCGCTGGTTATCCTTTGGGTGCTGCCATCACACAGGGACCCTGAGGCACATCAAGGTCGAGGATGCCCTCTACTGCTTGAAGGCGGGCAAATGTTTTATTCTGGGCATATCACGGGATCTGCATCTGTGAATTTCTGAAGTTGTACGATAATGTTATACGACGCGTGGTATAACATAGATAAACTTGACAGGATTTAACTTTGGATGATGCTGGAGGAACACGGAGTGACGCATGAGCGAGGTGCTGAACAAGTTAAAATGTTGTTGTAAGCATGTGGAGATGATGTAGTAGCTGGCCGCTGAAAAGGCCTCTCGAGATGCTGGCGGTCGCGCTTAGCGCGTATTTGTAGAGGTTATGTGTGCCGTACTGTGAATCGAATTCGGTTACGAACATAGCGCACTCCAGGCACGGTGCAGCATACTCTTACCCCAAAAGTGGATGCCCGGGTGGGTGAGAAGTCTACCAGCGGAGTAAAAAAACAAAGTCCTCCATCTTGGACGTGTACGGGGACCAGTGTTTTTTTTTTCGTTTGGGGCCTAATACCCTAGAGTAATAAACTGGGTGTTTCTTGCGGTTGCAATTCCTTTTTGTATAGTCGCTGGGGGTAT